CCCCCACCATCAGCTTATTAATTCTTTTGTGAATAGTAATTAAACCTAACAATAATAATGTTACAAACTTTTTGCTCTGCTCTGATCCTCACCATTTATTTAAAAAATCATATAACAAATCTGCTGCCACCAATATTTAATGGGAGTTCTCTCAAATTTTCATGTGAAAATGTATTTATAACCCATACTTAACCGCCCCAGAGCAGATACTACCAGCTTGTGCTTATCATAACTGTGCGAAAAGTGCAGTCTGTTGTTGAAATGTAAAAAAACCTCTCAGATTGTTGTCGCTGTGGTTAGACTTTATGAACAATTACCAGTACTCAATCATGTCAAAGGCTGTTTTGATCGTAGTGCTGCATGATTGCCGACCGCTATGAGTGTTCCAGGAGTCAATATCAACTTGATATCCTTGCCAAATGCATAAGCAGAACCATTTGTAATGACGCCACATCAAGAGATCGTCTGTTTTTCAATAAAAGATAACTTATTACAATCAGAGTGCTAGTGCTGATGGAAACTAGAATTGAGTGACATCTGTTGGGGTTCAAATGAAAAGGCTCTGTAGGTTCAGCAGTTTTATGATTTATCAATTCTTGCAACTTTCATTCTGACACCAAGCATAGGCTTACTCCAGAGCTTCAGTTTTTGTTTGTAGATGAGCTCAGTGTTTATAGAGCCTCTCACTCAGACATTTCAACTTGTTCCTTCTTCATGTAGGGGCCTACCCCTCTCCCATATCGGTATATCCGACCCTTCCTTATTTTGCTCACCCTGGTGATCAACAGTAAAGCATGCTGTTGGTGGCCACTCATGGCTCTCAGGAAAACAGTGCCCAAGGGAATAATTGAATCTCTAGTGATAGTTTTTGCTTCATAAGGTAACATTTAGAGGGTTAATAAGAGAATAGAATGTTGAGGGCGGATATCTATCTGTGTTTGACGCTGTATTTTTCTCCTTTTTGCCTGCTTGCCTGCTCAGCTATAACAAAATACTTGTACATTTAATAATATATTTTAATTTTTCAGTTCAAATGGTAAGAAACAGTGAGTCAACAGAGTCTTAAGATGTTGTTGTGACATATTATATTTTCAACACCTGGTGGGTGTGTTAGAGAAATATGAAGGTGATAAATGATAATGAACTGAGAAATTCTATTTAAAAATGTGTATTTGGCATTTAAATTGCCTTCTCCTGTATTGTTTAATTATCTTTCCAGTTGAACATCAAGTCACGATGTCTGACTACTCAAGCACCGGAAGCTCTGTGAGTGTTGATTGCAGATTTTGAAAAAGATTTTGCTCTGCAATTCTTTACATTATTAATTAATCGCAACTATGCACACTCCTTTCAGTTTTAATTTTTAAGATAATTTAAGAAATAAAGCCTCATTCCATACTCGTGATCAGTGAGCTTCATGCGTGTGGATCAAAAATAAAGAAATTTATTTTGTTCTAAAAGTTTATAATACATAGTACTCTCTGAACTTTTTTCTGTACATTTTGCAGTGCTTATTCATAATCTAAAATAATCTTAATTTGTTGTGTACTTGCAGTATTTTCATTTGCATAACTGTAAAACTTTCATAATCAAATTATGTAGTGTACTCTTTGCCTGTTATTATGCTTTATTCAATTCACATACACATAAGTTCCTATGATACTTGTGAGGAAATGACGTGTGTCTCTTGTTTGTCCAAACACAGGATAGCTGGAGTTCTTCAGAGTCTGGAAGTGATGATGAAGAGACTATACAGTTGCTCAGAAAAATATCTAAGATGGTGAGTAAAGTTGATGAATATCATATTGTAATAGACATTCTTAGACTCCTGCTTTTGATAGTACTGTAGAAAAAAATTAATAAATTGCTGTTTATTGTTTTGGAGACTAGCAACCACATTTCCTGGTGTTCTGTCATATAATAAATATGATGTATATCCATCTTGTCTGAATGACACTTATCTGTGGACAAAAAGAAGGAATTGTATTATATAAAATCATAAATGTTTTATTTTTCAAAGTTAATCTGCTAAAAAAGTATTTTTTCCTTTTCAGTTTGAGAGAGAGAGTTTAATTCCTTCAATGTACAGTTCAGGTTTTAAATCGATATTTCCATGACTTGCTACTATAAGATGTCTTTGCCTTTTGATGGAAAAATCGTATTCTTAGAGTGTATTGAATGAAGTGGCATGCTCTGTTACTTTTACTCTTAACATATTGCTGTGTAGAATAGATGTTATTTCATTGTTTCTTTTGTTCAACAGGCTCTTTTATTTGAGTTAAAATAAACATTTCTGTAGTTGAACTGGTATCTTTTTCTCTGAATTCTATGAATATTCTATTATTTCAGGGCTGTAAGACCTAAAGCTGCTCAACTTAACATTATTTCTTCTGTTCTTTGTCTTGCAGGATGTGAACGAAAATAAACCGAACAGGTTTCTCGGGTAAGTCTGACATGCAACTTCTTGATCATATTCCATTTTCTCTTTTAAGTTAGAATTTTGGTGCTGGAAACATATGTTAATTAATACGTGTTTACTAATGAAACTGACTATTTAAAGTTTATTTTTGTCTTGGAACAACGTGTTAGCAAAACTCAAGAAAGTTGTCATAGATGTCTTGGGAAATAAGGAAGACACGAATAGTCTTTGCTTTTGGGTCCAGCATTGCTTTTTTTGCTGTTGGAATATGAAGATATATTATATGCAAAAGTAAAACAAAGCACTTAATTTTCTTATCGGTTTTACTTTTCAAGTTTCCTCATCATACATGAAATATATTGTTGGCTGATAGCTAGATGTATATTTGTCCTCATTCATTGCCTTTAGAGAAATGGATTTTTATGGCAGCGTGTAAAGTGCAAAAACTTGGACATACATAGATATATTGGAATTGTGATCGTGGTATGAAATGGATTGGTTTCATATTTACAGACATTTTGGAGTGTCATTTGAATACCCTTATTTGTGATTTTTTGGCTTTAGCAAAAATAGACGTTCCTTTCTGTTTCTCAGCCGATGATAGATATATATTTGTGTAAACAGGTGTGTGTGATTTTTGTATAGATTTATGATGCCCCTCTTCTCCAGTCACGTTTTCTGACTTTGAACTCTATTGTTGTTTCTGATTGTGTCATGACTCTTTCCTTTTCTTCCAGCACTGGCATTGTCTATCACCAAATTATGACGGAACATAAGTGTGATTGGGACACCAGCTACCCCGAGCACCCTGGGCGACTGACGGAATCGTACGATCGTTGCCGAGAACTTGGCCTTGTGGATCGTTGTTTACAAATCGAGGTTGATTTATAAAAAAGTGATGTTATACTGCTTAAAAGTGAATGGGACTTACATTATACACAAAAAAATGACCTTGAGCGGGTGGGGG